ACCGATACCAACAGACCGCAGCGGAGTTCCTCTGGACAAAGATGGACAACCACTACCTACCGACAGCAGTGGACATCATGTCACTGTGCCAGGGGAAGAAGCCGTTAGCAAGGAACCTGAAGAACTCCACTGCTCTCCTGCAGATCCTCCAACAGAAACTCTGTTGTTCCTTGTTGAGAGCTCTCGTGAGAGTGCACCTTACTTCTCCTCAATTAAAGATTTACTTAAGTCATTCATTAGTTCCTTACCCGAAGAAGGCGCTCCGGAAATCGGAAAAGTGATTTATAGTGCCACAACAGAAGTCACTATAGATATAGGACACTACAGTGATAAGAAGGAGTTAATGGCATCATTTGATGAAATAAGGGAAGTAGGAGGTGTCCCTGATGCCAAGCTTGCTCTAGAAATTGTTCAGCAACTTTTGTTGGAAAGAGAACGTGGTGCAACTGTTGTCCTTCACTTCCATATAACTCCCTTGAGGTGTGTTTCATTCACTATCAATCTTTTCTTTTTTTTCTTTTCCGCTTTCAAATGAATCAGTCAGTCAATATTCTTTTCGTCATCCACTTCAGGAGAAAGGACAAACTAGCGGCTGATGATTTGCGAAAGAGTGGTGTGAAACTTGTTCATCTCAATGAAAAAACTTCGTCACGACTAGATCCTTCCGCCCTTCGTAGATTCGTATGCTTAAAAAGCACAGGTATGCAGCTTTTTATGACTTCGAGCTTACATGAAAAAACCGATGCATACATTCTTTCCATTCTTTAGTGTTTATGCTCATTTTGCTTATTTTTGAAGTGAGCAAGAACCTTACTTTGAGTAAGATTTGTTACTTGGACTTTCTTGCATTCCTAGCCTTATGTGGTGCAGAATTTCAAGAGATTCCAATACGAGTGGATTCTCAAAGCGTCGGCTGAGGAGAAATCCTCCTCGCCTAAAACTCATTTTTTCGCTACTTCGATTCGTTTCTTCAAGAACTAGGCAGTTAAGATGACAAAGCTGTTTAAACAGCTTCCACGAACATTTAGCTACCGTAATATAGAAGCCAATAGTGGCGGTCTGGACGCGTTAAATCCTTTGGTAATTTTGCACGCTCTCTTTCCTTGACTTGCATAGATTCGGACTCATTGATGGAAACAAAAACTTTTGCAACAGAGAAAAGATAAAATTGGATGAGATTTCAATAAGAATAACCTATTCTCGATGCTTTACTGCGATGGAATTCACACATTTATTCGTTTATTCGTACAATATTCAGCACGATGTGTTCCTTGAAAAAGTGGGAGAATATTAAGCCTGACGCATCAGCAATGTGGAGGTAGTGTGGTAGCAGAAGCAGCCGTCTTCCAGTGCGGGAAGGGGGGAGAAGTGGTGCCGTCTACTAGGGCCCAAATCTTGGATCTACTCCCACACTGCTCAAAGGCCTGATACCTCCATTATCAGCAGTATGGAACCAAACTTTCCTGTGAGACTGAAAACGTTGACTTGGGCAAATCCAGTTCCCGCAAGTCGTTGCGTAGACCATATCGCATTCAAAAAGCGACTACGATTTTCAATGGAAGTAGAATGCGTGCCGTCGTTCTCACTAGGAAAGGTCAACAGGTCAGCCTGGCCATTTGCAATGAGATGCACATCACCGTACTCATCTTGATAAGGTGAACTCAGAACTGTCTTCAAAATTTGCAGAACGATTCTCTGAGCGGAATCGTGGATGTTTTTCTTCACTGCTTTCCTTCTTACGAGCGCTGGCGCTGAAGCGTTGGCACATGTAGCAGGACACACAGCGCTCTTCGCGCTATGCAGATATCATATTCGTGTTCAGGGGGTCAAATAACCCCTAGGGACATCACCTTAGCAAAATCTGAGCTTCTGACTAAACTTCGAAAAAATGGGGTGTGGATAGTCATGGCTGACTGATAGCTCACAGCGATACTATGACTAGCATACTGGTGATGACTGGTCTCCGACTGAAATGACTCTTCAGTCATTTTTTCCCAAACAACAGTTCCTGGCTTACCTATTTGTGCAGTCTGCATCATTTTCTTGACTATCGGGAGGAAATCCCATTCCGAGACCAGCCAACGATGGTAGGTGAGCTCCAACTTACACAGATTACATTACGACTTACTTACATAGATTTCCAAGGCATGAATGTTTTCGGTCACATGGTCACGGTAGTTCCTCCTCGCGCTTTCCTTTTTCGTGTGTCTATTTTTATTTCTTTTCTGTTTCCTTTTGACTTTGTTACTTTTTTATATCTTTTTTTTTGTTCCCTTTACTTTTTTGTTTCCTATCATTTCCTTTGTGTTTGACTCTAGAATCACTGAGTTTTGTTACGGATCTCCCGCACGGACCGTTGTACTGACCTGGCGCGTCATTGTACGCATAAATAAATAAATAAATAAACTTACTGCTAATTACCCATGGAATAGCCCACATTTTCCAAGTGAGGTCAAAAAATCAGATTCGGCTAGAAACTTGTCCCCAAGGGTAATTTAACCTGCTGAACATGAATATGATGGTATTTCATTGCAAAAAACCCTTGTGACACGTGTTACGAGGGGTACAAGCAGGAGCATTCTTTTAGGCCACAGTGGGTCTACACTTTCAAAAGAAAAACTGATCGCAGGTTCCCTTATAGGGTTGCGCAGGCGAGCAGAAATGTTAGAAGCTTGTCGGCTATGTTCCTGGACAAATGCAAAAAAGGCACTTGCGCGGAACCGGTCCTACAACGTCTCGCCTAAGAAACCCGCTCCCTATCCGTTGCGCGCTCCAGGACTACTCCATACATAAATGCTTAGACGCTCCCACGTTTCCTGGCGACCGCATGTGAAACGACCATGCGGAGATAAAACCCTCCATAACTCCGTTCAGAGAATCGTTCTGCAAATTCTGAAGAGAGTTCTGAGTTCACCGTCTCAAGGCGCGTACAACGGTGTGCAGCTCATCGGAAATAGCCGGGCTGACCTGATGACCTTTCCTGGTCAGCTTGCCGAGCCCCAAGTTTGTCAGGAGAAACTCGTGTTCAGGCTTCGCATCGCCTGAGGTGTGACCTCGTCAAATCGCATAATTTCTTATCTTTTTCGAATAGGCGACATTGTCGAAACAGTTAATAAGTTTATTGATCAGTGAATAAGTGCTTTCGAACATTTTTCGGCATTCAATACTTCTCAGGGCTTTTTTCAAATAACAGTGAACAACGTTGCGAACAGGCGAGTGCCATAGAATTTTCGTCATGCTTTTGGAGTGAAGTCGAAGTCTTCCCCCCCCCCCCGTTATTTCATTTTCTTCATGAAATGCTATGCGTATTATGTGTGTACCGTAGTAAAAACGAGAAAATGTTGGATTGCGTCCGTTCATTCTTGACCCTTGCAAACGATAGGGCGGCGACGCAGCGCGTATTGGAGCGCAACGAGGGTGCCCTTTTCCCACCAATGATGCTGTCCTGAGCCTGCTATAATTGGTGGGAAATCTGATCTGTTTGCGCTCCAAGCCGTGCCTTCAGGCGTTAGACGCTCTATCGTTTTTAGGCATTATAACTGTATGTCATGTATTGGTTCGTGTGCAGTTCGAAGGTTAAAACAGGATATGCACCGTGCATTAGGCAAGGAGGATAGATGGACCGTGATAGGTCAGAATAACTGAAAACACAAATCCGGGTGGCAGAAAATTCCAACCGGCAGGTAGGGTACAGCATGTTGGGCGAAGTCGCAGCAATTCAGCTACTGAAGCATTTCTGACAGTTGATTGGCGACGACCCCTTCCCCACCCGCTCGACGGCAGTTTTGATACGAAAGATGAAAAGTGGGGGTTCATATCAGGACAGTAAATTTCAGTGGAGGTTGCACTGCAAGAGGAAATTTCGGGAAGGAAGGTCATACTGACACTGCTTCACCTCTCGATTATGTACCCCGGCACATATCACCTGAAGCTCGATGTCGCTCATCCCTTGCATGCTCGACCAGAAAACGTTTTCATAAGAGTCAAAGATTTTCACTGGATTTTAGTAGTAACTGACAGGAAGTTGAGCCTGTGCGCACCAATACAATAGTATACCAATCATTTTACGCACTGGTATACCAATCATTTTGCAAGAGAACTTCAAGTCGTCGTACGCCATTGAAGCGGCTGGAGGTCGCTGCTCCTCTGAGTAGTTGGTGTCAGCGCAAACTTGGGTTTTAACTTGGGCGTGTTCTCGACAAGCAACAGTGATATCCATAGATAACTCTGTAATTAAATTATAGACATCTCGAGACATAAGACATTTCCCCCCCCCCTAAAAGGTGCCTTGATACGACCCCTCTCTATTCATTTTTTCATCTTACATTAACCACTCTCATTTTCCCGTCTTTTTACCAGTTTTCCGAGTAACTATTAACACTTCTCTTTCCAAAATAGGGAATCGAGAATAGCTGATCTCAACATCCAAAATTCGCCCTAGTTCTTTGTGCCAATCATTCAATTCAAACTGTGAGTAATAGGAATGGATCTCCCTGATGAAACTAGGCGTATAGTTACTGTAGGTCGCCTCGGTATGCTTTTGCACGCGTGACTGATGCTATTTATAGGTAGCATCAATACACTGGACTACAGTGAACGGGCATTGCGCTTCAGAATTTTGTATTGTCGGGTCTACGGTCCTTTAAATTGGAGTTGGGGCGTGTTTGCTCATACACTCTTGAGTGAAACAAGCTTTCAAGGAAACCAAACTTTTTTCGAAAGAAGGCGGTTGGGGAAAAAGGAAAACGCAGTGGAGAAGAAGATTCGAGCTTTCTGAAATATAAAGGTTGTCTATTCCAGGGAGATATTAAGATGAGACTGGCCGAGATTTTCGAAATGGGATGCAAGCTTTCCCTGAACTTTCTGAAATATAAAGGTTGTCTATCCCAGGGAGATATTCAGAGGGGGTGACTAAGATTTTCGAAATGGGATGCAAGCTTTCCTGGTTAAAGAAGATAATTTTCTTCCCACTCAACCATTTGCAAACATAACAGCAGTTTTGTAACGTTGAGGATCTCCTCTTTCCAAAACCACTTGTATTGTTTTTAAACTTTTAAGATTCATGAGATAAATACGTTTTGGATTTCCTAAGGAATACTCCGAACTGCGAGAAAAACCCATTTTCTGTGTAGCGTTTTAAAAGGGCGTACTTGAATACCCAAGAATCCAGAACGGATCCTTTCTTGGAATAGGATTGATCAATGGTTGGATCAGTGCTCATGCTTCATTGTTGGATGCGCCATACATTAGGCTCCCATGCAGAGGGAGTGGGATGGTGCAGCTTCTACGTAATGTCTGTCTACGCCAGCAGAAGTGTTTATAGGATTCAGGGAGGTCCACGGCCTACCTACACTTTTACAGTCTCGTCCCATCATCCACCTTTGGCGCAAGTATTGAAGAATCCGTTCTCCACCAAATGCTGAGTCGGATAAGTGACACTAACTGATGGAAAACAACTGATACGAACGATAGTCCTGTCGTTTGCCGAAAGAAAAAACAGGTTGGCGCCGCGCCCGCCAAACGCAATAGTGCACGCATGCCCCGTCATCCGCAACGAACAGGAGCATAAGCTGTATTGTTTCGTCGTCTACGTACTTACAAAATTATGTCCACTTATTAAAATTTCTAGTTAGTTACGATTTAACTAATTTTTTGTACTGTTTTTTACATATCCGGGTTCCCTGCGAAGCAAGTGTCGATATACTCAGCCCAGTGACACCTTTGCGCTGTTCGGTACTGACTGCCCTTCTCATTGAACGGAAATTCAT